TAGTTATGAACTAGCTATGGGAATGAGCATTGTCGCTATCATTATGACAACAGGTTCACTGAGTTTGGGCAATATGGTAGAAGGTCAGAATGGATGGCATGGTATGGGTTGGAATATATTTCTAAACCAGTAATGGCTGAGAGACTATAATCTGATGTTGTCCCCGCATTGCCTAACCAAACAATCGCAATCAGCATTAACAAACTTCCTAATAATGTAAAAAGAAAGAACTTGATTGTAGCAGGTCGCAATTTTTCACCTTTTCCCCATATCAATAATAAAAAATAGGCGGGTATCAAAGCCAATTCCCAAAAGATGTAATAAAGAAACAGATCTTGTGCAACAAAGACACCATTCATAAATGTCTGCATGAACAGAATCAGGGCAAAATACTGTTTTGGATTATGGATTTGATCACCTAATGAAACATACATACTGATGAGCGCCACTACATTACAAATTAATATCATCAACAAACTCATGCCATCTGCACCAATGTGGAAATGTACACCCATCGATGCAATCCATGGTAAATCTATCGAAGAAATGGTAGCAGTATCTTGACCAAATAATGCCAACATGATACCTATGACCACTACTGAAACAGCAGAAGATAAAATAGCAAGGCTTTGACTGAGCTTATAGCTAGCCAATAAGATGATCAAGGCAGATATAAAGGGTATCAGTAATACGAAAAGTATATTCATTAGCTTAGAATAATAAAGATTGTTAATATACCCAATACGCCCAAAGCCATGGCAAATAAATAATAGCTAATAAATCCGTTTTGGGTTTTTCTGAGTGCACCAGATAAAAATAAGGTTAATTGTCCACTGCCATTGGTAATCTGATGGATGACTTTTTCTTCAAAAAACGACATCACCATTTTTGAAATGCTGAAAATTGGTTTGACAATTATAGCATTGTATAATTCATCTACATAAAACTTCTCTTTGAGCAATCTACCGAGTGGCATTTGATCAGTTTGTATATCTGACTCAGGGACAATAGAAGAACGTACATATTTATGGTAAGCAATATATCCTACAACCAAAATAGCAACTAACGAAAAGCCTAAAAGCATCCATTCTGTGCTATGATCCAAATGTACATCTGACATGCTGACGATCGGGGTAATAAAGTTCTCTAGCCATTTAGTACCATGAAACAATTCAGGAATATTCATTAAACCACCGAAAACTGAAAGTATGGCCAAAACAAACAATGGAAACAACATAACCATTGGTGATTCGTGGATTTGTGAAGCTACTTTGGAATCCATTCTTTCTTTGCCTTGGAAAACCACAAAATATAAACGCAACATATAAAAAACTGTCAATAGACCAGAAATCAAGGCCATTACCCAAAGTAACGGACTCTTTATAAAAGCTGCTGTAAGTATATTGTCCTTTGAGAAAAATCCTGCAAATGGTGGCAACGCAATGATTGCTAAAACACCGATTAGGAAAACAATATGCGTAGATTTCATATATCTCTTCAATCCACCCATGTTGCGAATATCTTGCTCGCCATTAAGTCCATGAATGACACTACCTGCTCCTAGGAACAATAAAGCTTTGAAAAATGCATGTGTCAATAAATGAAAGAATGCAGCGCCATAAGCGCCCAATCCCAAAGCAAAAAACATCAATCCCAATTGGCTGACGGTAGAGTAGGCGAGTACCTTTTTGATATCATTCTGTTTAAATGCGATCAATCCTGCAAAAATGGCCGTAGTCAATCCTATAACCATGATGATATCATTAGTAAAAGGCGCCATTATAAATAAAACATTAGATCTAATGATCAAATAAATACCAGCTGTTACCATTGTTGCAGCATGGATCAATGCGCTCACAGGAGTTGGACCAGCCATAGCGTCAGGAAGCCATGTGTATAATGGTAGTTGTGCACTTTTGCCCGTTGCACCAGCAAAAAGTAGCAAGGTGATACCTGTAATTACTGTTGTATTTAAACCTACATTATTGCTTGCTTGTAGATTTATATCTGCATATACGAAACTCCCAAATTGACTAAATATCATAAACAAACCGAATAATAAACACAAGTCACCTATTCTATTCATGATGAATGCTTTGTTTGCCGCTGCATTATAATCATGATTTTTGTACCAGAACCCTATCAGTAAATAAGAGCATAATCCTACGCCTTCCCAGCCTGCAAACATCAAAACATAATTATTGGCCATGACTAAGACCAACATAAAAAATATGAAAAGATTTAGATAGGAAAAGAAACGGTTGAAACCAGCATCTCCATGCATATAACCGATGGAATAGATGTGTATCAAACTACCTACGCCTGTGATCAAAAGCATCATGATAACGGACAGTTGATCTACTTGGAGAGCAAATGGCACGTGGAACTTGCCTGTATTTATCCAATCAAATAAGTGAATATGAACGGCTGTACTTGTTGATGATACTTCGAAAAATAATACCACGGATAAAATGAAAGAAACAACTACCCAAGAACTAGCCAAGGTACCTGCTTGTTTTTCTGAGAGCCATCGTCCATACCAAAGATATCCCAAAAATCCAATCAATGGAAGGAGAAGGGCGACGACAGGGAGATTATGTAAAATATCTGAACTCAAAATATGATGTTTTTTATGTATGATATTACCATTTTAATTGATTGAGGGCATTGATATCCACAGTTCGTACATTTCTGTAGATCATGACCAACATAGCGAGACCAACAGCCACTTCAGCTGCTGCAACGACCATCACAAAAAAGACAAAAGCCTGCCCATTAGGATCATTGTGATAAACTGAAAATGCCACTGCTAGTAAGTTGACCGAATTTAGCATTAATTCAATACTCAAAAATACATTGATCAAATTTCTTCGTAAGAGTACGCCTGTCATGCCAATACAAAATAGAACAATACATAAAAAAACATAATGCTCTAGTGGCACAAGCCTAAGCTGATCTTGCAATCCTGCCATTTCATTCATCTTTTACATCTTTTTTATTGAATATTACAATACCTACCATCGCTGAAAGAAACAAGACACTTGATACTTCAAAAGGTATTAAAAATTCTTTGAACAATACTTTTCCTAATGTGGAAGCTAGGCCTATATTTTGATCCACAACAGCAGGATTACTGCCAAAATCGGTACTCCACAATGCCGTTGTCAACACAAAACACAATAATAATCCTGTAAATACAGCAATACCCATGACCAACTTGCTTTTCCGTATGGTGATAGGTGTACTCATATTGAGAAACATGATGACGTACAGGAACAAAACCATGATCGCACCGGCATATACAATGACGTGGACGACAGCCAGAAACTGAGCATTGAGCATGACAAATAAACCTGCCACTGAAAAGAAACAAATCAGGAGATACAAAACACTATACATGGCATTTTTATGAAAAATCATCAGAATGCTACTGATAATGCTTATGGCTGCTAAGGAATAAAATAAGACTTCGGTCATTAATTACTTATTTTTGTTTAAAACACTTACATCGCGCCTTCACGAACACCTTTACGACGACTACTGATGTCTATTCTATCTACATCTTTTATACCTTCTACAAGCATATCTTTTGTATAGATAAATTGATCTCTATGATAATCTGAAGTACTGATCGTGGTAGTGAGATAAATGGCATCTTTTGGACAAGCTTCTTCGCAAAGTCCACAGAAAATACAGCGCAACATGTTGATATTATACTCAGCGGCATATTTTTCTTCCCTATAAAGGTTTTCTTCTCCTTTTTTGCGCTCTTCGGCTACAATGGTAATGGCTTCTGCTGGACAAGCTACGGCACAAAGACCACAGGCTGTACAGTTTTCGCGTCCTTCTTCATCACGTTTTAACACATGTCTGCCTCTGAAGTATTGGCTATGCTCACGAGTTTGCTCAGGATATTGAACAGTCACTTTTTTCTTGAAAAAATGATAAATAGTGACTCTCAATCCAGCTAATATAGCAGGAATATACATCCGTTCTGTCCAAGTCATTTTTTTGTTGGAAACGACCTTGCTTCTATTGGTTAGTGATTGCATATTTTATTGATTGTACAAGATGACTGCACCTGTGATTAACATATTGACAATGGATAATGGCAATAAAACCTTCCATCCTAGATTCATTAATTGATCAAATCGGAATCTCGGTATCGTCCATCTTACCCACATAAAAAAGAATATAAAAAAGATGATTTTCGCTAAAAATACTCCAACACATATTAAAGCAAATAGGATTTCGTGTGTATTTGCTTGCACCATATCCATGAATGGGAAATTGTATCCACCAAAGTATAAACAAGTTATAACCGCTGACGACAAAAACATATTGATATACTCTGCAAATAGATAAAATCCAAGTTTCATACTCGAATATTCTGTGTGATACCCACCAACTAATTCTGTCTCACTCTCCGGTAAATCGAAAGGGGTACGATTGGTCTCTGCAAAAGCACAAATGAGAAAGATCAAAAATCCTAATGGTTGTAGAAATATATTCCAACCCATACCATGCCATCCATTCTGACCTTCTACCATATTGCCCAAACTCAGTGAACCTGTTGTCATAATGATAGCGACAATGCTCATTCCCATAGCTAGTTCATAACTAATCATTTGTGTAGATGCTCTTACCGCTCCGAGCAATGCAAATTTATTGTTGGAAGCCCATCCACCTATCATGATGCCATAAACTCCCAAACTCAGTACACCCATAATATACAAGATACCAACATTGATATCGGCAACTTGTAATTGAACTTTTTCACCACCGATGGTGATATCTGGTCCCCAAGGAATCACTGCACTAGTCATCAATGCTGTGATCATACTGATGGCTGGACCTAGGATAAAAAGCAGTTTATTGGAGTCGGCAGGCATGATTTCTTCTTTCATGATCATCTTAATACCATCTGCCAAAGGTTGCAACAAACCGAATGGTCCTGCTCTGTTGGGTCCAATTCTATCTTGCATGAAGGCAGCTACCTTACGTTCCGAGAAAGTACTGTATGCTGCTATCGTGATGGAAAGCAAAAAAAGTACTAAAACAAGACATATTTTAAAAATGATTAATTCCATGATTTTATGCTTAGATTACGTCAGGTTTTCACTTGACTTATTGTTCTGGCTGAGTATTGGTTTCTAAGTGTTTTTGAATAACGGGCAACTCATAGGTCAAGTGGTTTTGGGCAATGACGGAATGTCTGTCGATATCCGCAGGACCATCTTCTATCCAATCACTTTTTTCTTTTTTGTCAAATCGACAAGTATTACATATAAAATCTTCTACTTCGTTCCACTGATTTTTTCGACCCGTGACCCTTAATACTTCTGCACCTTGATACCAAAGTGTCACTTTGCCACTACAAGTTGGACAATCACGATGTGCATGAACTGGCTTAGTAAACCAAACACGTGATTTAAATCTAAATGTTTTATCTGTCAAAGCGCCTACAGGACATACATCGATCATATTACCAGAAAAATCATTGTCCACGGCATTCTCGATGTAGGTAGAAATTTCAGAAACTTCACCACGATTTAAGACGCCATGAACTCTTTCTGGTGTCAACTGATCCGCTACTTGGGTACATCTGTAACATAAGATGCAACGATTCATGTGCAATTGGATCTTATCACCTATATCTTTTCGTTCGAATTCTCTTCTTTTGAAAGCATATCTGCTCTTGGCAAGTCCGTGTTCGTAGGACAAGTCTTGAAGTTTACATTCTCCTGCTTGGTCACATACTGGACAATCTAGTGGGTGATTGATCAATAAAAACTCTGTGATTCCCTTTCTAGCATCCATGACTTCAGGTGACGTGGTATTTCTCACTTCCATACCATCCATTACGGTTGTCCTACAACTAGCTACTAACTTTGGCATTGGTCGTGGATCTTTTTCCGAACCTTTGGATACTTTTACAAGGCAAGTTCGGCATTTACCACCACTACCTTCTAGTTTGCTGTAATAGCACATAGCTGGTGGTACATTTTCGCCAATCATACGAGCTGCCTGGAGGATGGTTGTTCCTGCGGGCACTGCTATACTTATATCATCAATCGTTACCTTCAACATTTTTTGCTTTTTTGAAGTATTCCTTAATTCCTATTAATTATACTGTCTGATATTTCATTTCGGGTTGATAGACGTGGTCAGCATCTTTTACTCGGTGTGGATATTTCACATGGTATTCGAATTCATGACGGAAATGTCTTATTGCAGCTGCGACAGGCCAAGCTGCCGCATCTCCCAATGGACAAATGGTATTTCCTTCTATTCTACGCTGGATATCCCACAATAAATCGATATCTTCTTCTTTGCCATGTCCATATTCGATATTGTGCAAGACACGTTCCATCCATCCAGTACCTTCTCGACATGGACTACATTGACCGCAGCTTTCGTGGTGGTAAAATCTTGCAAAATTCCAAGTATTACGCACTATGCATTGTTGTTCATCATAGACAATAAATCCACCTGAACCTAGCATACTACCTGTATGGAATCCACCTTCGCTCAGACTTTCATAGGTCATCAATCTAGGGCTCCCATTACTTTCATTGAACAAAAGACTTTTGGGTAAGATAGGCACAGAAGATCCACCTGGAACACAAGCTTTGATATCTAGTCCACCTTTTATCCCACCACAATATTCATCAGAGTAAATAAATTCTTCCACAGGAACGCCCATTTCTATTTCGTATACACCGGGATTATTTATATTTCCTGAAGCAGAGATCAGTTTTGTTCCTGTAGATCTACCGATACCAATTTTGGCATATTCTGCTCCACCCATCATAATGATAGGTACCACAGCTGCAATACTTTCTACATTATTGACAATCGTAGGACAATCCCACAATCCTGAAACCGCAGGAAATGGTGGTTTAATCCTTGGATTTCCCCTTTTTCCTTCTAGGGATTCGATGAGTGCTGTTTCTTCACCACATATATACGCACCTGCACCAGGATGAACATATAAATCGAGATTGTAA